GTGTGGGGGCCATTTCCTTGGGGGGGGGGGTTCTCACCTTCTGTCTCTCTGTCTCTCTCTGTGTTTCTGGTGACTGCACAAGCCCTATAGCAAAATCCTCTCCAAAAAAAAAAAAAAAAAGACAATTTAGAGTAATAAATTTTACAGTGCTAGTGGAATGAAGGAAGTGTTAGTATGGAATGAAGAAACCCACGCAAAGCAATGCTTGAAGAAATGGAGAGAAGTGTTATATCTCTGGCTGGGAATATTACAAATTATAAACCTGGGGACCAGAAGTTAGCATAATGGCTTTGTTGCTGGACTCCCATGTAGTCGATTGTGGTTCGAGTACCGGATCCAGTGGCTTAAACTCATGCTGGGTGCATGTGCATGAGTGCTCAAGATTCCAAGGAGAATGGAGAAGAGATTGCGGTGTGGCCATCCTCCCTGGGGGGTGATTTCTCGCTTTCTGTCTGTCTCTGTCTTTCTGGTGAGCGCACGCGCCCTACAGCAAAAATTACAAACCTGGCATTCCCTCCCAGATATAAATCCAATTTAATACAGTTTCAATAAAACTTTCAACGGTGGATTTTAAAATTTAAACCAAATGAACCTAAAGTTCATTTGAAACTGGAACTTAGTAGGGATAATCAGAATTTTTTTTAAATACAAGAAGACATCTATCAGATATTAGTACATATTAAAACTGCAATAACAAAAATTGCTTACATCTTGTTAAACACATGACAAGGATATCAAAGGATGAAAGGGATTATAAATACATACTGGTATCTACTTTGACTCAGCAGTTTGAATTTCTAGGAACTTATGCTATAGAAAGTTCATATGAGTATGGATGCATAGATACTAAGATGTTCACTGCAGTGGTATTATTTTAAAAATAAACTCAAGGGGCCCGCAGGTGGTGTGGTGGTCAAGGGTGCTGGACTCCCACATGGCGGACTGTGGTTCAAGTCTCGGACCTGGCAGCTTGCTTTTTCACTTTTCTTCTCTCTCTCTTGCTCACTCTTGCTCTCGCTCTGTCCCTCTCTGATCAAATTAAAATAAATAAGTAAATAAACAATAAAGTTAAATAAAATAATTCTAAAAAATTAAATAAATTCATACTTTAATTCCTTTTTTCACAAACTTTTTCATTTCCTTAATTAAAAAAATTTTTAATCGCCAGAGGGAGCATGTACTCATGCTCACGTGAGAGCACACCTGGATGGGGTGTGGTCACAATCCTTTTTTCCTCTATTTTGTCAACTCTAGGAATTTCTTGGACGTGGGCCAATTGTGTATTTCAAGCAGGCCACAGGGTTGGCCTTGAGGGATAGGCTTCGGAGGCACCCGGGGCCCTGCAGTCACTTATAATATATAAAACTACCAACTCCAAGAATACTGTGTATTCATATGCAGAGATCCCAGGAGTAAAACACAAAGGAAAAACAGGTTCAAAATTCTCAAAGTGAAAACAAAAATGTAAAATGATAGTAACAGTAGAAATCCTTTTCTCCCCTTACCCCCTAAAACAAGTTAGCAGGCACTCTTTTTCCATAAACCTGTTACCTAGGTTATGTTCCTGGCCCTAAGATGGACCCCAGACAAGGAAAAGGCTATTCATCCATAAGAAATGGAAATATCTAAAAAATTTCTCCACTGACACCCGGAGTTCATCTGCCAGAGCTTCTTAGAGGGTTCGGTTCCGGAGCCTCTGCCCCTCCGCTGTCCGCACTGTGCTCCTGCGTTGGCAGAAGGTAGTCGGAGTCCCACAGACGGCTCCGCCATCAAAGGGAGGAAACGAAACCAACCGGGTCCGAGTTTCCAGGAACTCAGACTGTGGGGGCGCCCGCCTCGCCCCAGTTCTCCAACTCTGTCCAGGAATCCGAGGCAGCCACCACCCCGCCACCTCCCGGCCCGCGCCGGGGTCCACCCCAGGCTCACCGTCGTTCCTCGGGGACGTGCGTCCGTTCTGCCCCAACCGTGCAGTTCCAGGAAGATCCTCCTCTGGCCTCTCCGACTACTGCCTTCCGCCCGGGGGAGAAGTCGGGTCTATATGCCTGGGAAGCTCCTGCGCCCCAAGTCCCCCGCGCGGTCCCCGGGAGCCCCGCCCTCTTGCGCCCGCGCGGGTAGGCGGGGTGGGACTCGGCGCTGGCCTGGCGGCCTCTGGGCGGTCCGTTTGCTTCGGAAGCGAAAGCCGGGCTAGTCGGGCTACGCCTGAACAGCGCCCTTCGGTTCGGCCTCTTGGACTGCTATTTCTGCTCCGGGATGTCTGCAGAGAGGGCGGACACCTGCCTGCTTGAGGCTTCCGACGTGGACCCTGCTGCAGGCCACCCGGCCCACGGTGCCCTGGCTGCCTCGATGCCCCTCCAGGCAGCTCGGAACCAAAGCCCCTTCCTGCCCCCTGGTATCCTCCTGCAGCCTTCCTCACCTCCCATCAAACCACACAGAAACTATCAATAGTGATAGTGTCCACCAGGGCCCAGCTCTCTGCTGGGGGCTGCGGGATTCCAAAAAGAATCCGGTCCCAGGGAACTAGATAATCGGGACAGGAAGGGCCGAGGATTGAGCACGGGAAGTCCATGTGTCTGCTTCACTGTGCTGGGTAATACGGGCTGGGGTGGAGGGAGTGAGGGAAGAAGCACACCCAAGTGGGAAACGGTTTCAGGGACTCGAAGAGCGGGCACAGGAAACACGTAGGGCACATGGCGGATACCCAATAGCTAACGGGCTGGGGACTGAAAAACAGATCGGGCGTGATCGGGCCCTGTGGAGGGTGTCTCTCTCTCTCTGTTTCTACTCCCATCTACACACAGGTGCTCTAACATCAATTTTCTAAAAATTTGAGCCAGCCAGGTGGTGTGGTGGTGAAGGCTGCTGGACCCCACCTAGCCGACTGTGTGATTGGAGTTGTGGACTCTGGGCTTGGAAAAACACACCCAGTGCATGCCTGTGCACCCCCGCTCCCCCCAAAATCCCCAGAGGAGAGTGGAGAAGGGATTGCTGTGTGGTCATGCTCCCTGGTGGATGCTTTCTCATGTTTTCTCCTTCTGGCTCTCTCCTGCACGTGCATGCACCCTGTAGTAAGCAAACAAAAAATTTAAAATTTTGGGACCAGCAGTTAGCAAAATGGCTATGTCGCTGAACTCCCATGTAGCTGACTGCAGTTCGAGTCCTGGACCCGGTGGCTTAAACTCACGCTGGCGTGTGTGCATGCACACGCCCTATAGCAAAAACCTCTCCAAAAAAAAAAAAGAAAAAAAAGAAAACGTAAAATGTTAATAACAAATGGAAAACCGGAAAATTTATGAATATGTAGAAATTAAACATGCTCTTTTTAACAAAGAATTAATTTCATTTGTTTTTTAATTTGCTATATGGCATGCATGCTGGGGGGGAGTAGTAGCAGGCAGAGGGCAGAGGAGGCAGGGCTCAGAAGGAAGTTGTTTGTTTTTTTGATAGATTTGTGTTATAGAGCATATGGCTTTTTCAGAGAGAGAGAGAGAGAGAGAGAGAGAGAAGAAAGTTTATAGCTGCAAACATCTACAATAAAAAAGAAGGAAGATGGGCCAGCTTGTGGCCTGGCAGTTGAGGTGGCTGGATCCCACAGGGCTGATGACGTAGTTTGAGTCCCAGACCTGGTGGCCTGAACAACGCGCTGAGCCTGTGTGTGTGTATGTGAGCCTCAGATCCTGAAAGCTGAAATGGAGAATATGGAATTGCTGCTTGATCATGGCCCGTGGTGGGTGCTTCCTCACTTTCCCCCTCTCTTTGTCTCTCTCCGGTGAGTGAACATGCCCTTTGGCAAATTAAAAAAATAAAAATAAAAAAAGGAAAAGATCAATAACTCACACCTTATGAAACCAGGAAAGAAGAGCAAACCAGACTAAAAGCTAGCAGAAGAGTTAACAGAGATAATCAACGAAACCAAAAGTTGTTTCTTTGAAAAACTAACAACAGTGACAAATCTTTTTATAAAAAGATTTATTTATTATTATTGTTAACATTATTTTTCACATGAGTTTTGCCAGAGAAAGACAGAGAGGGAGAGAGAGGGAGAAAGCAAGCTGCCAGGCCCAGGACTCAAACCATGGCCAGCCATGTGGGAATTCCAGCACCTTAACCACCATGCCACCTGCTGGCCCCAACATTGACAAATCTTTAACTAGACTGACTAAAGTAGAGAGAAGATGAAAATAATTAAAATCCAAAAGGAAGTAGGGGACCAGTAGATGGCATGGTGGTTAAAGTGCTGGACTCCCACGTGACCGACTGCAGTTTGAGCCCCAGACTGGACTCCCACGTGACCGACTGCAGTTTGAGCCCCAGACCTGGTAGCTTGTTTTCTCTCTCTCTCTCACTGAGTATCTCTCTCTCTGGTAAGCACAGGTGGCGTATAGCAAAACAAAATAATAATAGTAAATAAAATTAAATAAATTATTCTTAAAAAAAAGAAAAGGAAGTAGGGACTTTACTATCCATTTTACAGAAATCAAAAGGACTAAGAAAATACTGTGAGCCATTGTACGCTAAGAAATTGGGTAACCCAGATGAGATGGGCAAATTCCCGAATACGCAAACGCTCCTAACTGACCAAAAACGACGAAACAAAACAACCAAAACCCTGAGCATACCTGTAAAAAGGAAAAAGATCAAATCAGTTATCAAATGCCTGCCGTCAAAGTCTAAGCCAGATGGTTTCACTTGTGCAATTTATAAAACACTGAAAAAGGAATAAACAGAATCTTTCTCAAACTTTTCCAAAAATGCAAGAGGAAGAAACACTTCCTAACTCATTCTATAAATTTAGCATTACTCTGATACCAAGTCACACACAGACACACACAAAAAAGGAAAGTGTAGACTGATACACCTTAAGAATATAGATGTATAGGACGAGCAGATGGTGTAATGGCTATGTCGCTGGACTCCCCTGTAGTCAACTGAGGTCCTAGTCCTGGACCTGGTGGCTTAAACTCATGCCAGGTGTGTGTGTGAGTGCCCAAGATCCTGAGAGTAGAATGGAGGAGAAGGGACTGCGGTGTGGCCATCCCCCCTGGAGAGGGAGGTGATTTCTCGCTGTCTGTCTCTCTGTCTCTGTCTTTCTGGAGAGTGCACATGCTCTATAGCAAAAAATCTCTTAAAAAAACAAAACAAACATAAATAAAAAGCGTATAGATTTAAACATCAACATTATACTAGCAAATGGAGTCCAAGAGCATATTCAAGGATCATTCACCACGAACAAGTAGGATTTATTCCAGAAACTCAACGGTTTCAAGACCTGAAACCAGAGAATGTAATACAACACATTAACAGAACAAAGAGAGGCATGGTGATTAAGGCACTGAACTCCCACATGGTCGACCATGTTTGGCATTCTGGACCTAGCAGTTTGAAAATCACTCTGAGTGCATGTGTATGCGTGTCCAAAATCCCACTAGGAGAAGGGAGGAGAAGGGATCTTGTGTCATGACCACCGCCCCCCACCCCCCAGCGGGGGTGATTTCTCACTTTCCCTCTCATTGTCACTCTCTCTGGCTCTCTTTTGCCAATGCACACTCTCTATGATAAAAACCTTAAAAAAAAAAAAAAAAGAAAGAAAAGCCTCTTCTAACAAAACAGCTTAAAATAGAGATCAACAAGGATCTCTCTTGGGCAGAAAAAACAATGGATACCAATAACCATTCCATGTAGCAATCTTAAGAACTTATCAGAACACTTCTTGAAGGTTCAGTATCATGAGAACTTTTATTTAGAGGGAACTTTCTTTTGGTAAAAGGAACTCAAAAAGATTTTTATATGACTTGCATTTTAGAAAGATTTTTATGCCGTGTTGCCTTTGCCGGAAATCCCACCCCCCCCCCCAAAAAAAAAAAGAAGAGAAAAACCCCACATGATCATTTCAATAGATGCAAAAAAAAAAGTCATTGACAAAATTCAACACTGTTTTGTGATAAAAAGATGCAAACTAAAAAAAAAAAAGATGCAGCAAACTGAAAATATAAGGAACTTCCTCAACAGGATAAAGGGCACTTACCAGGAACCCACAGTTAAAGAGTCATACTTAATGAGGTAAAACTGAAAGCATGTTTCCTAAGATCAGGAACAAGATAAGCACACCCATTTCTCTATTGCTATCCAACATTGTATTGGAAATTTTATTTAGCCAGAGCAATTAGACAAGAAAAAAAATTAAGGACATATAAATTATGAGAGGTTAACCATCTCTACACATGGATGACATGACTCCATGTATAGAAAGCACAAAGAATCCTCCAAAACTTTGCTAGTTCTAATAAGTGATTTCAGTGAAGTTTCGGATACAAGTGTGACACCTATAAATCAAAAATTTGTTTTTGGTTTGTTTTTAGAGATTTTTGCTATAAGGTACATGTGCTCACCGGAAACACAGACAGAAAATGAGAAATCACCCTCCTGGGGGGATGGCCACACTGCAATCTCTTCTCCTTCGTTCCCCTCTTGGGATTTTGGACATGTATGCACACATGCCTGGCATGAGTTTTAAGCCTCCAGGTCCAGGACTCGAACGGTGGTTGACTACATGGGAGTCCAGCGACGTAATCATTATGCCATGGGTGGGTCCCCAAATCATGTATATTTCTATGCTGACAATTAAAAACGCAAAAGAGAAACTAAGAAAGAATACAATTTCCTGTATAATACCATCCAAAAGAATAAAATACTTAGGAATAAATGTAACCAAGTAGGTGAAAGCCTTGTACACTGAAAACTACAAAGCGTTGCTGGAAGAAAGTAAGGAGTTGTGAGAATAAACCTGGACTCCACTCCCCTCCATCCTGGCAGTCTCTTGCCAGTGTCCTATATTTGCAACCAGCACCAGTAGGCAAAGGGAAAGACTGATGTAATTCTGTAATTCTCACGTATCAGCCTCACAAGGTACTGAGCGAGATGGAGAAAGATGAAAGGGAGGTCTGGAAAATAAATGGAAGACATCGAGCATATCTCAGAATTCCAGTGTGGATAATTTCTGCTCTGTTTTCTTTTCTTTTCTTTTTTTTTTAATTGCCAGAGGGAGTGCACACTCACCAGCTAGAAGGCGAAAGCATCCCCCAATGTGGGGTGGTCATGCTGCAATCCCTTCTTCATTCTCAGTCCTGTTGAAATTTCAGGCATTGGCACCACTAGATGGTGCAATGGTTACATCACTGGACTCCCACGTAGTTGACTGCGGTTTGAATCCCAGACCTGATGGCT